AAAGTCTTGGAACTTTGGGCTCTTAAGTCATTTGTGAGAATGCTACTTTGTCTATTTGTGTATCTGATATATTTCGCTTTTTTTGTTTTCATAACTTAACTAACATTGTTTAGAAAAATTAGCGAGATTAAGTACGTTTAGTGAGTGGGAGTTACACATCAGGACTTTGCTTTGTGAGTTTGAACAGCCTACTTTTTTTTTTCGTTTTATTATAATGTTCTTTGTTCATTTGAAGTTGTTTTGTTGTGTGTGAGTGATAAGAGATGATTTCTCATTCACTTAGACAAATACCCAATGCATTGCCACTTTATAGAGACAGCATGGTGGTGTGATTGTAATTTGCATTGAATTTTTTTTTGTAGTTGTTGGACAGTATTATGGTGGTCAACTATGTTTGTATATCTACCACTGATATTTGCAAGATGAAGGGGATATAACATTGATAGGATGAGTGCTTTTAGGGGTTCGAAGATCAGCAAAGTGCATGCTCATGTCTGTGGAAAAGGTATAATCAGTTGTCTGCGATGTTTGTATTATAATGTGTAATTTACACTTGATATTGAAATTAGTTTTTTAAAAAAAAAAAAAAAAAAAAAAAAAAAAAAAAAAAAAAAAAAAAAAAAAAAAAAAAAAAAAAAAAAAAAAAAAAAAAAAAAAAAAAAAAAAAAAAAAAAAAAAAAAAAAAAAAAAAAAAAAAAAAAAAAAAAAAAAAAAAAAAAAAAAAAAAAAAAAAAAAAAAAAAAAAAAAAAAAAAAAAAAAAAAAAAAAAAAAAAAAAAAAAAAAAAAAAAAAAAAAAAAAAAAAAAAAAAAAAAAAAAAAAAAAAAAAAAAAAAAAAAAAAAAAAAAAAAAAAAAAAAAAAAAAAAAAAAAAAAAAAAAAAAAAAAAAAAAAAAAAAAAAAAAAAAAAAAAAAAAAAAAAAAAAAAAAAAAAAAAAAAAAAAAAAAAAAAAAAAAAAAAAAAAGACGACGAAGGAAAATCATTGCTTTTGCGCAATCCTGCGGGGATGTTTGATTTCCTTGCTTGATGGTATTTCCCATGTTATTCGCATGCAGATGAATTTCCTCATTGAGAACCTATGTTAGATAGTTCTTGCCAAAAATATATAGTGCAGTGAAGTCAATCTTAACAAGATTTGACATTGTTGTATATCTGTAAAGATAAAAATAAAGAATTAATAAAAATAACAGTATGCATCAATAATATAAATGTTCAGGATAATAATTTTAAGGAGATGATTGGATTATAATATGTATTTTATGTACTTGAAGCTACAAGTTCAAGTTTAATAAAATTTAAGACTTCTGGCTCTTAAATTATCATATCATTCAGAACTTCTGGTTCTAAAATTATTTTGATTCTAAACTTCATGTTTAAATTATTAGGATGTGAACTTCAGGTTTCCACTCAATTCAAAATAAAATTCATTTCTTATCAAAGTATTCATGATATTACAATTATCATTTTAGTTTAGAACTTCGAGTTCCAAGAATATTGGTCTATGAACTTCGAGGTCATATAGGATAAATTTCATCCTCATCATATCAATATTCTAAGTTTATAGATTAAAAAAAACTGATATATCCCTCAGTAGAAGGGGACTGTATATATATATATATTTAAAAACAATAAGTGTGTTATGTATAAGATTAATACCCTACACAAATGTTAGATATAAAAATGGATAATATAGAAGATTCATGCTTTGACATAGCTTCCACTTATATCAATTAACATGTGTATAGCTATATCTAAATGAAACTTGGTTAATAAAAATAGCACTCATATTAACGATTGAACTAGTAAATATGATTTAAAAAATGGAATATAAATTTAGAGGGAAGAAAATTATACCAAGCTCAAACCAAGATCCTCTAGTGGTTAAAGACTCGTGCTGATAACGTGATATAGAACTTAAGGAATTATGGAGAGAATTTAGAAGATGATAATAACCATAGAGTTCCTTTTCTCAAGCTTGTAATTTAATTCTCTTAATGCCTTGTATTTATAGACAAAGTAGAGTACAACTAATACTACACTTAACAAATATAATATAAGGTAAATTACAATAAAATCATTGTGGGTAAAAACATAGTGGCAGGAATTCTCGGCAAATGTATATGGTGGGCATCCATAATAATTAGATGGATTTGTAAGGCATTCTCCAACTCATTTGGTCCTAAACCCAAAATCTCCCCCCTCCAAAAAGTAACTATTTGAGTTTTGCCCGGACTCAAACTGTTCCCCCCCCAGCCCTTCATACTCAAATTTTAAGTCTTCAACTTTATTAAATTGTTTAAGAATGGTTTAAGTCTAATATTTTTTTTCATGGATAATTTTTCATAATTGTTTATGAAATTCCACAAATATAATTTTATTTGAGAAATGGGTGGATATTTATAGAGGTCGGAGTGAGTTTTGGGGTTAGATTTGATTTAGATTAATTTAAAATATTATTTTGACCGTTGGATTTTTATTTTTACTATTAAAATAGCTTGGATTTAATATGGATCATTGGTGGAATAAAAAAAAATTAGGCGCTACACCAACACGCAACAGTTGGCGTGTGACAGCTTTTGCAACAACAACAGCATGGCACCTGAAGTCCATTGATTCCTCCTTGCATATGGGCTGGTTGAGTGGGCTCCACAAAAAAGTTTTCCTATCCAGTTTGGCTCCAAGTTTGGAAGAAAAATTAGGGGCTAAATTGTAGCAATGGCCCCTCGACTAAAACCAAACTTTACTTTTCGTTCCTCATATTGTTAAATTGTTATGATGGTTTTTTTTTAATGAAGAAAGAGGGAGAAAACCCCCAAACACCAACACAACAACTAACTAGTACTAATCAGACAAGCCTTAACAACTCCCAAAGAATCATTAAGCAATAAATAATTGTAGGGGTCTTTTGTTCCAGCAGCCTGACGAATGGGCTTGGGCTGCCGTAAGAAGAAAAAAGAAACAAAATTCCCCAAGTGCCTGAGTTCGAAAACCAAGCTCCTAAAAGAGTTTTTGAAAAGTTTGGTGAAACTTTAGAAAAACACCCTTAGGTTCCTTTCACTAACAGCCAAATAAACATGATAAGTCAATTTATGGCCTAGCTTGAGGAGCTTATGGCATGGGAGCTAAGCTTTCACAAGTTTAGCAATTTGAGAGAGAGAAAAAAACATGAATTTCTTATGGAGAACGATGATTTGGAGGAAGGCAGAGGAAAATTAGCATGACTTCTATCCTAAAGGAAGAAGAGAAAACAAACTAAGAAGAAGATTGGGTGGCTTGAGTAAATTTTCAGTTGCTTGACAAACCTTGGCTAGGCCCTGAATGATGATTTCGCTAGGTAGGAGAAGCTCCCTTTTATAGGCTGAAAGAGCCCTAATTTCGTCTAACTTTTCCTTTCCCTTTTCATTGTTTCTTCCTACTTGATCTAATTTGGTGAAATTCTCCTATCCAAGGTGCATGGGTAAGGAACCCTTTGTGGTTCCAAGGGTTTGACGTAGCTGGACCTCCCCATGAGGGTGAGGCGCCACCTGCTTTCCCTCTTGGTTTTCAAAACGAAGCTTGTAATGGGAAAGAAGATGGGTAGAGCTTTTTGTCCGATGGGTATTCATCCTACCTTCATAGATTTCCTTTGGTCTCTGCCATGGCTCCTTTGTTGACCGTTCTTGGAGTTCTAACAGAGGTGGAACTTGGTGCCATATTTTTATAAGTTGTTGGGCTGGGCTTGTATGCACAATATTGGGTTATTGGCTTGTTATTTCCAGCGTTTGATAGGTTTTCGTCAAGCTGCTGGAAGTGGCTTTATTAATTTTGGGCATTCTTTTGATGTGGGCTTATCTAAGTATGTAGGCTACTAGATGTCTTCCTAAGTCATTGGACCATTTTTCCCTTTCTCTCATGCTAACCCATGTATTTGGGTCCGAGGAATGAGCTTGAGTTTTAATGCTCCCAAGTGGCTTAAAACTTTCATTCCTCGAACCCTCAATGGGCCCTGTGATTGCTTGTTTCCTTCCATACCACAACCTTCTCAGCAAGCCCCAGGTAATTTTGTGGCTTGAGCCCACTTAAGCTTGTGGCATAGCTTGGTGTTAGAATAGTGGCTCTTCTTGCACGATGCTTGTGCTTGAGTTTTATTATGCCGTGATAGGCTATAATTGGGCCAAGTAACACCGAATGGGTATGTGTGAGTGTGATTTTGTAAAGTTGGCATGCTCTTGGCCCTTTTGCGCGTGCTTGCTTGGCATGACACGTGACTCATAACTTGCATTGGTGCGTTCTACAAATTCTCTTTTGTCTCGATTGGGCTTCTTTTGCATTCAATTATCTGTGTTGGGCCAAGAATTAATCTGAGCTTAGCCCCTTGGATTTTTGGGCCTCAACAATAATCAAGCCAGGCAGGACTCTCCTCAAGATAGTAGCAGCGCAGATTCAGATTGTGACTTCAAGTAGCCAACCCATCAGCTACATCATTCCTCTCTCTATAGATATGTTGAAGCTTGATCCTTCAAAACAAATTCATAAGCCTTTTACAGCTACTGACCAGCCCAACATTAGGATGACAAGCATTCAAAACCTTACTCTGAATACTAAGCACAAAATCTCATAATCCATCTCAATAACAATATCATCTACTTTTTTCTCAACAGCCAAATTCAACCTAAAAAACAGACCCCACAAAGCACTTCTCCCTAGCCCAAATTGACAGCAAAGCCACCAATCCATTGATCCAAATGATCTCTCAGGATCCCTCCAGCACCAATGGCACTAGTATTGCCCTTGCGAGACCCATCTATATTTAACTTGACCACACCAATTTCAGGAGGGACCCAAGCCACAACACTTGCACCTTATTAGCTCCAAAATTAATTCCAACATTTGCCTGAAACCAATTCTTTGCAACAGTAAAAATCAAATCTAGTAATCGCAAGCACAATTCCTAGTAAGATGCCTTCGAACTCGCTGCTTATTGGAGAGAATTTTCTCCTGAAAAACCAACCAAAAGAAAATTTAGAGTTTAGGAGGGATTTGAAGCTTCCATAGAACTCTCCACCAAGGATTTAGCCAATCTGCCCCTTGAAAAAGCAAATTGTAAGCAGACTTGACAGAGAATAACCCATAAGAAGTAGGTTTCCAGATCTGACAATCCTTCAATAAGCCCTGAAAATTAGCTGAACATCTAGTAACTTTTTGGACCCATTCCTCAGGAAGAACACTCCTCAACTTCTCCACATCCCACCAACCACTCACAAAAAAATCAGAAACAAGGGAATTAAAATAGAGATTAGGAGCAAGATCCATTGTTTGCATCAGAGGCACATTATTGATCCATTTATCTCTCCAAAACTTAACATTATTGCTTTTCTCGAGCCTCCAAATTAACCATTTGTCAAGCAGTTGAGCACTAAACATAATCTTCTTCCAGGTAGGAGAACTATTTTGTTTTGGGACCATATTAGGCTCACAAAAGGAATGACTCTTAATATATTTCTTTTCAAAAATTTGGGACCACAACCCTTCATCCTTCTTCAATAATCTCCAGCCAACTTTAGCTAGGAGAGCTTGATTCATATCCTGAGTTTTCTTCAAACTGAAACCGTCCTTACTTTTACGGTGGTATTTTAATTATGCCTCTACTTTCAGAAATCGTCCCTTTCATCATCTCAGTCAACTTTTCAGTTAAAAATCATGACAAGTTCTACTTGGCATGGACAAAAATGCCTTTTCACATAAAAATTTAAAAAATAAATCAAATCTCTCTCTCTGTGGCCCCGATTTCTTTCCCCCCGCAATTTCTCACCCAAATTTCTTCACCCACCCAAATTTCTTCCTAACCCCGATTCCTCTCTTCCCTCCCAACGAACCCTGCACCCTAAACCAGAACCCCAACCCATAAGCAAAAGAGAGAGAAAGAGAGATGATTAACATCCCCTCTCTCTCATCCCCCCCCCCTTCCTAAAGAACCAGAAAATCAAACCGTAGCTAAAATTTTGCCAATACACAAACACATAGCCATAGGAAGTGACCAATTTCTCTTAGCAAATTAATACACCTGACCAAGAAACTAGCAAATCCAAAGTAAACAAGAAAGTAGGGGATTGTGGGAGAGAGAAATTTCTTTTGATGGTTTTGTTGTCTGTTCTTGGGACTTTTATCTGTTCAGTGATGAGGCTTTTGCAATTTAAGTTTAAAGAATACACTTCTACTTGATGGCAGACTATTAATTTGTGACGAATGTCATTATGAACCACCAATATGTTCTCTACCTAAATGTATTGCTGGAACTGAAAGAACCGAATTACTATTTGGAGAGTGGAAAGAGTGTTGGGTTTCTTCTGAAGTCTACTCCTCTTCTATTAGTATTCAACTATAGGAAAGAGTGTCTTCACTTATTAATGTCATTTCAGGCATCCTCCAACCCTCTATCATTTCAGCCTCCTTCAAAGATTGAACCAATGTCTCTTCACAAATCCAGAAGCAAAAGAAAAGATGCCTCTGGTTCTCTATTTTGATAAGATCTGGGGCGGAGGAGGGGGGCTGGGGTTCCGGGTTTGTGGGTGCTGGGGTTGCGAGCTAGGGTAGAGGGTTATGGGTTCTTAGGTGCTGGGGTTGGGGGAAGAAGAAATCGTTGGGGAAAGTGGGTGAGCGCAGAGGAAAGAGAGAGATATATATATATATATATTGTGACAGAAAATTTAACTAAGTTGACGGAAAGACCAATGATGCAACATGAGATCTAATTAAAATACTGCCGTAACAATTTAAAAATATGAAGGACGAAAAATAAAGTTTAGTCTTAGTCCAAGGACCATTGCTACAATTTTATAAAAATTAGGTTATAATTTGGGATTATTTGGATTTGGCCTCAAGGGTTGAAGATGGCCTAAGGCCAGCCATCTCCAACCTTTGGACTCAAACTCAAAATATCCCCCCAAACCTCTCCAAACTCAAGAAAAGGAAGGATCCAAAATTTGGGAAAACCCAAATTTGGACCCAATACTATTCATTGGACCCCATGCTGAGGTGGCATAGCCCATGTGCTTCTGAAAAATGGTGGGACCTGCGCTAGTTACATTTTCTGATGGGCTTGTCTGTGGCATAGGCCACGTGTCGGCACTATAAGAGCATCTCCAGCGCTTCACGGGCTAGGGGGGAAAGGCTGCCCGAGGCAGCCCGAGTTCTCTCCAGCGCAGGGCCCGTAGCCCAGTTTGATGGCGGGTCCCACGAGCCCGAGGAAGCCCAAGGGCAAATCTTGCCCGGGCTGAAGCCCGAGATGGTGACGTCAGCGCTGGCGTCACGCTGACGCCAGCGCACGGTAATTCATATTTTTTTTACCGTTGGCGCGTGTAATTCACGCGCCAACGGTAAAAAAAATTTGACTTACCGTGCGCTGGCGTCAGCGTGACGCCAGCGCTGACGTCATCCCCTGACAGCTCCAACGGGCGGGCGCCACGTGGCGCGACGGGGACTCTCCGATGGAATTTTTCCAGAAATCCAACGGTCCTCGTTTTTTTGGCTTAAAAAATTGCAAAAAAAATCGAAAAAAATCTGAATTTTTTTTTAAAATACCCAACCATTTTATTTTTTTCTCTATAAATACCTAACCATTTTATTTACTTTCCACACTAAAATCTTCATACAATTTCTTCTCCATCCCATATTTTTTACTCTTTACTCACATTATTCACTTTCCACACCAATTCTTCATACAAACTTTTCTCCTTCCAATTTTTTTGTTCATCTCCACTCACATTTTTCACTTCCACACCAATTCTCCATACAAACTCTTCTCCTTCCAATATTTTTTACTCTCTTTCTACTACTTTCCATTTGTATAAAAAAAAACAAATGGCATCTTCTATTGAAGTCGGAGGCTCGTGGTCAACGAATGAAGATATTGCGTTGTGTCAATCTTGGGTGAACATTAGTCATGACCCTATCACGGGTAATGAAATGAAGTTTCATCACATGTGGAGCAAAATTCATGGAGAATTTTGTCAAAGATCGGGTTCTATTTGGACCGAAATGGCGTTGTCTAGTAGATGGAAACTTCTTAATAAAGAGTTAGGGAAATGGAGGAATGCCTTGACAAAAGCAAAGGCGAACATTCAAAGCGGTCAAAATTTGACCGATGAGGTAAAATATTTATAATTGCCATTTTAATCAATTCAATGTCACTTTTTTTTTATTGCATATTCTATTTGTTTTTCTTGCATAATTTTTTTTTCTTGGTGCACCTTTAATTTGTCTATATTTTCTTGCATAATCAATTTTATTTTTGCATTTCAAAATAGTTTATATTTTCTTGCATAATAATTTTTGTTTCTTGCACTTCCAATTATTTATTTTTAATAGATGGTACAAGCACAAATGTGGTTCGGTGCCATGGGGCAAGGCAAAAAAAGTTTCGTGCATTTCCAATGTTGGGAAATTGTGAAGGATTGTTCGAGGTTCAAAATTATTCCCACCGGTCCGCCGGTTGTGATGAATGAGACGCCACTCCACGATTCAACATCAACCGATTCTCCATTGGACTCCCCAATGGAAACGGAGTCACCATTTGTGCCACGTCCGCCAAGACCTATTGGGAGAAAGGCGGCAAAGGCCAAGAGAGGGGCCACTTCGAGCAATGATTGTGTACAATTATTGGAGCAAATAGCTAAGAGCGCCACACTAAGAATCGAGAGAGACTTGAAAAGAGATGAAATGGACAAGGCACGAGAGGAAGCATTTGCTCTCCAACAACAAATGGCACAAGAAAAAGACATAGAGGATAGAGAGATGAAAATCATGGCTATGGATACGAGCCATATGTCTCCCGAAACAAAGGCTTATTGGAAGGTACGACGAAGAGATGTGATGAGGAAAAAACTTTTCAATGACGACGGACCTAGCAATACGGATTGGTTAAATGATGAAAACCATTAGGTTGTTGTATTGTTGTATTGTTGTATTATCCTTTAAGTTGTTGTATTGTTGTATTATCCTTTACTTTGTTGTATTGTTCCTTTATCCTTTTAATTTGTTGTATTGTTCCCTTATCCTTTAATTTGTTGAATTGTTCCCTTTTTATTCAATCAAAAAAGCCTTAAATTAAATGACTAATTATTAAAAACATTTGAGCATCAAAACAAATATTAATTTAAAAAAACCTTCATTGATTGCAAACAACACACAAAACAAACCATACATAAAAGCATAATAATAAAAAGCATAATTCCAAAAAAAAACCACACACAAAATAAAGCATAATTAAAAACAAAGCATAATTCCAAACAAAGCACTAATCTTGACTTCATCCATTGTGATTGCCTTTGATCTCCCACAAGTGCTCGATCAAGTCACGTTGACGTATCTCGTGAACATATGAAGATTGCATTTCTTGATACCGATCAATCATGGGGTTGTTGAATTGACCATCCCGAAGTATGGGTTCGGGCTCCAGTGGTAGTCCATTTGGTCCAATCGGCCTTTCATATATTCTTGTCAACGATGTGTTCATTGGATCGGGTTCAAACACCTCTTGAGCATCATAGTCATACTCATCCTCCACAATCATGTTGTGAAGGATGATGCAAGTCATCATAATACTCCGCAGCACCTCCTCATCTAGCATCCGAGCAGCACCTCTAATAATTGCCCAACGAGCTTGCAAGATACCGAAACACCTCTCCACGTCTTTCCTGTAACCTTCTTGAAAGGAAGCAAAGTTTCTTTCCTTCTCGGATTGGGGATTGGGAATTGTTTTCACGAATGTCGTCCACCTAGGATAAATTCCGTCGGAAAGGTAGTACGCACCAGAGTAAACGGTATTGTTGATTTGGTACGTCACCTGGGGGGAATGACCTCGCAATACCTCATCGAACACTGGGGATTGACCAAGGACATTGAGGTCATTCTGAGAACCGGCAACCCCGAAGAAGGCATGCCAAACCCAACAATCGAATGAAGCTACGGCCTCCAAAATTATACTTTTTTGGCCCTTCCGATTCCCGTACTCCCCTTGCCACGCAGTAGGGCAGTTCTTCCACTGCCAGTGCATACAATCGATGCTTCCAATCATTCCTGGGAAACCTCGGGCCTCGCCTTTTTGTAGAAGCCGTTGCAGGTCTCTTGGCGTTGGTTTGCGAAGGTACTCCCTCGTGTACAAATTTTCCACTGCATCACAAAATCTCACCAAGCACTCTAGGACAGTAGATTTTCCCATCCTTGCAATCTCATCCACCTGCTCTGCAGATGCCCCATAAGCAAGCATCCGCAAAGCAGCTGTCAGTTTTTGCTCCGGGATAAGACCTAAAGCTCCAACAGCATCATGCTTTTGAATGAAGTATGTGTCGTAATTACAAATATCATGCATGATTTTTTGGAACAAATGTGGTTGCATTCTATATCTTTCTCGAAACTTAGAAGCAGGATATAACGGATTTGGGATAAAATAATCCTCCATGAGATTCTTACCCCGAGACTCCCTACGTCTGTCCACATTCGGGGCACGAGGACGACGGTTTTGCCTTGATTGATCCATCATACACACCGCTGCTGCAAGCAGTAGTTCCTCTTCTTCATCAGCTTCCCGATCTTCTTCAGCACGTCTACGCCTTGTTTCTTCCCTTTCTTTCCGTTGCCTCTCCAACACCCTCAACAAGTTTGACATTGAGAGTAGAATGTGTTTTCTACAATCTGAGAAATGAAGGAATAGATAAGAGATGGTGTGAGAGGTTTGAAAATCAGGTCTAGTTTATAGACGGATTTAGAAGATAGAGATGACACGTGGCACAATTTGAGAGGATGAAAATCTTATCAAAAATCTGAGATGATATTTTTTTTAAAATATCTGAAAATGTTATCTGACATTTGACACGTGGCACAATTGTAGATGGTGAAAATCTAATCTGAAATCTGAGATTAAAATTTTTTTAAAATATCTGAAAATGTTATCTGACATTTGACACGTGGCACAATTATAGAGAGTGAAAATCTTATCTGAAATCTGAGATTAAAATTTTTTTAAAATATCTGAAAATGTTATCTAACATTTGACACGTGGCACAATTTTAAAAGGAATTTTCTTTGAATAATTTTTATTAAAATCTAAAATACTAAAAATTAACTACGAAACTTTAAATGCCGTTTTGGAAGGCCAAACGACCTCAAATGCCAAAATCCATCATACATCACGGCAAGGCTGTGAGTTTGACTCGTGGTATCGTTCCCTTTCCGAAATGGTATTTTGCGTCCTAATCGGAGCTCGGACGACAAATCTGCAAATTCCCACTACGTCCTTTTTCTAGCTCAAGCGATAAAATCTAACATTTATTCTACATCAGATGTGGCACAATTTTAGAGGGTGAAAATCTTATCCGAAAATTTAATTACAAAAGATTATCAAAATTAATGGTTTAAACTATAAAAAAATAGAAAATAAAGTACAATGAATAGTAATTGCCTTAGACTTGCCCTAGACTTTGCCCTTGTGGGTGGAACCACAAATGCAAAGGCTGACACTATTCACGTGAATAGTGACAGCCCTTGCTTGCCCTTGCCTTAGACTTAGTCCTTGTGGGTGGAGATGCTCTAAGCTAGAGCCGTTGGGCTTTGGCTGTTTTTTATTTATTATTATTTATTTATTTATATATATATATAAAAAATCAAATAGTATTGCTAGGGCCCACATGCTGGTTGTTTCCATTAAATTTTTTTTTATGGAATTTCAAATTTTTTTAGGTCAAATTGTTCAAAAAATTAAATTATGATGTTATTTAAAAAGATTAAATGAAGAAAAGTTATCCATTAAAAAAAAATAGACTTAAAAAATTCTTAAAAAATTTAAATAAAGTTGCGGACTTAAAATTTGAGCCCAGAGTGTTGGAAGAAAAAACGATTTAAGTCCGGGTAAAATTCAAATAGTCACTTTTTGGAGAGGTGAAATTTGGATTTAGCCCCTCGTGGATTGGAGAAGGCCTAACAGAAGTAAAATTGTTCGAGTTGAAATAAAATTACCCCACTCACCCCTCAAAATCGAACTGTGTAAAAAGTCGAAATGGGACACGTGTCCTGAATCCGATTTCACAGTTTCTAGGCTAGGGCAGCTGCTGCATCTGCATATAAATTAGGGATTTAGGGTCGAGCCATCTCTACGGATACGGCGCCGCACAATAAGCTGCTGCTGCTGCAGCCGCCACAGCCGGCATCTCCAGCGTCTACACCTCACGTGCCCTAACCGACTCCTACCTATCAGACCTGACCCTCCGGTACCTTTCCGAGTTGGACCCTTCGACCTCCGCCACCGACGACCATAGCCGAAGTAGCTCTATGTATCTGGCGACGTCGCATTTGATGTCCTAGTCTTCATGGCCAGCTCCCGATGTCGAGCCCGGCGTGAAACGCCCCTCTGAAGGTTCCTCACTTTCCGCTCTCTGTTTGGTTACTGGGAAAATTTCTGGGCTGCAATATTTTTCACATTTTAACTCGAATTTTTGTTCTGATGTTATTTTTTATTGTTTGTTTGATAAGAAAGTGAGAATCTTGAATATGGTTATGATTAAAGTTCATTGCTTTAACACAGAAGTTTACTGGAAGTTTCTAATCGTAGTATCATAGAGATCAAAGAGTGGGAATGCAGTTGCTGCTTTGATGCATGCATACATTGCTTGAATTAGCTTATTTCTAAGTTAATCTTGTATGCAATTGTATTTCTGATTCTATGTGTACTTTTTAATTTGCTTATCAGCAAGTATGAATATGTTTTTTTTGCTTGAATTAGTAATGTTTGAAACTGATCAGTATTTCAAGCTTACTTTCATCAAGTCAGTTCTCCATAGATTTCACCTTAGATCAGGAATCTATTAATTTTAGAAATTGAATTTGTTGATCATAGATTGCAGCTGTTTGTGTGCTATTTTCTGTTTGCTTATTAATTGATAAAGAGACAAAAGTTATGTTGCAATAACTAACAGAAGTTTATGATTGGTTCATTAGGTTCCGCATGTCGCTCCAAGTGAATCCCTTCCCGAGAGACCTGGAGAGCCACATTATCTATCTATCTATGATGTAGATTTGCTTATATTCCATTTCATAATTTTTAAACAGTTCCACTTGAAAAAGGAGCAATGTAAGTTTGGTGCAACCTGCAAATTTCATCACCCGAAAGATATCCTGATACCATCAGCCGAGCAAGAGAATACAATTGGAGAAACTGGGACAACAATTCAGCAGGAGGGAACTAAATTTTCTGTGAAGCCTCTTGTTTCATTCAGCCCTGCACTATCATTTAACTCCAAGGGTCTTCCCGTAAGACCGGTAAGGACGAAGCAACACGTGAGCCTTTTATTATTCTATTTACATTACGTCCAGATGTTTAGTTATTTCTTTCTTCTTTTGATTTAACAGCTTTTTGATGTTGTAAATTTATGTTGATCATGTATCTTTTGCTTCTAATAGGGTGAACCCGATTGTCCATTCTATTTCTACCTAATTGGAAGGTCAGCATATTTATAGTTTTGTTGACTTATACTGTGATAAAAGTAAAAGAAGACTGAGAATTCTTAAATGGCTTTTGGTTCCTAAATCAGTTGCAAGTATGGGGCCACTTGGGCACGACTTAAGAGAACAGAAAAGGGCACTATGGGACGATCTTGTTGCTGCCTCCACAACGCACTCAGCACCGTAGGCAATACCCTCTTTGGTGAGGAGAAGGCCACGCGAAGAAGTTTGTAATCGGTAATGTCCAAGTTTGTAATTAGTAATCTCACAGCATGAATTCTTTATAAAGTACTGCAACATAGAAAAGGGCATTCATGTGATCCACCAGTACTTGGCCTCTTTTTCCGTCCATCAGGGCCTTCATGCGATCTGATAATCAACTTGAATTGAAATTTATTGAGAAAATTCTCAGTGCAGTCTGGACCCCAAAGCAGACCAATGCCTCTCTATATTTGGAGAAAGCCCAGGAGTCATTAAGGGATCCGACCACATCATGTCACTAGGAACCAAGTTGGGACCTCCTCGTGGAGCATCAAGAAAGGCCCCAACTTGATTCTTGGTGACGTGATGTGGTTGGATCCTCAATGAATCCTGATCTTTCTTCAAATATAGAGAGGCATTTGTTTGATTTGGGGTCCTGACTGCATTGAGAATTTTCTCAATAAATTTCAACTCAAGTTGATTATCAAATTGCATGAAGTCTCTGATGCACGGGAAGAGAGGGCATTACTGATTACAAAATTCTTTGTTAGCGGGATGCGATTTGCGAGGCTGTACTCTTACCCTTCGTTTGGAAGAAGGAAATGAAAATTACATATTATTCTAAAATGACTGAATTTTGATATCTGTCGTTTAAATTTCCGTGTTCAGATTTATGTTTGTTAGATATTGTAAATGATGGAAAATTCAATGTTTGGATAGCTCATTGAAATTGTAAATGTCAGAAATTAAATATTTTATGAAATTGATAATTTATTTCTAACTCATGAATGACATTTGTATCAAAAGAAAAAAACACTCACAACCAACGTAGAATGTACTCCAAATAGAAAATAACATATTGTTTGATGAACTAAAGAGGTCAACAAATTGAAAAAAGGAAACTTAACATATTAGCAATTCAAATCACTCCCACATGCAATGAACATAAGCAGCATACTTTTTTCTTTCCTCTATTGGGAATGCTTTCATCATGTGAAATTGTGTCATTTTCTATTAGTCAAGCACATGCTTTGAGTTGTTCATTTTTACTAAGACTTGATATTGCTTGTACTTCGGCATATCTCTGCTGGAGGTTCTTGATATTAGTGCCGATAAACTCTTTAAATGATAAAATCATTCTAGCAATCTAATCAGTAACATTTTTGGATGCTCCTCTTTTCTTTATATAAAGAATATTAGAAGAATTTGATGCACAATTTTTTATTTTTTATTTTTTTACCATTGGTCGAGTTTGGTGAAATATCATCCATAACATGGATATGTTCTAAAACCTTGTGTATCACCATCCAAATCAACATGTTCAACTTCATTGGTAGGAGGAGTCATAACCTCAGTTGCATCTACATTAGTTTCAGCACTCCCCTCCAGTAGATCTATCTGCCATAAAAATCTACTATATCTTCCCAATTTTCAATAACTTTAAATCGAAAACCTCTATCATTGTCATGAGACTACCAAACAAATAGTCAAAGTCAAATAAGAAACTAATAAATATTTGTACAGAGGCACATGATTAAAAAAAAAATAGCTTTAATATATTCACCTTCACATATTCTTCCCGAACATAATCTTCATCCACACGTATCATCTTTTTTCCAATTGAATCCACTTTGACTTAATGTAATGCACATGCCTTGTACTATAATATATATAGTTTTTTTTTTTTTTTTTTTTTTTTTGTTTGTCAAACCTCTCAATATATTATAGTTGATAACAATCCAAGAAAACACTTAGGTCTCGTTTGGTTTATGGGAAAGGAGATTTGGGAATGGGAAATCAATTACTTTCCTATGTTTGGTAAGTTCAAGAATGGGAAATCGTTGCCTGACACAAAGGAAAGTAAGGTGGAAAGTGAAGTCATCCTCCCAACTTGGGTTTTGTTTTCCCTCCTTATGGGAAAGTTTGGGGAAATGAACTAACATTAAATACACAATTTTCATGACCATTTTGTCCCTATTAACAATTTAGAATTACAATATATTATTAAATGCATTCTTTTTTTTATTTAATTTAATATGGGTATAATTGAAAATTTGTACAAACTTTGTTTTCCATTCCTTCCTACACAAAACAAACATGAGAAAGGAAATAAAGTGCTATCTCCCAGTTACTTTCTCAGCATTACCAAACATGGAAAATGAATCTTCCATTTCCCATTCCTTGGGAAATGACATGGGAAATGATTTCCCCTCAAATTCTTTTCGTGAACCAAACAGGGCCTTAGGATTTAGGGCAAAGAGGAGCAAACAACTAAACTTGTGAATATGTGTAGCAACATATGGTCGAACTATTGGGAAGAAAAATATATAAAGACAAGCAAGAAAAGGATAAACAGAGAGTGAAAAACTAAGACATCAAACAAATTATTTTTAGGCAAAACCATATTCCATATAGAAAGCATAGAAGACAAAAGCATTAATAAGCACAAAGCGATAAAGCTAAGCAACATACAGAGCTGTAGGAAAACATTGCACACCAATATCCATGGGCACATAGTATTTTTGTTAGAACTTCCCAAAATCCAGCCATAGTGTTGCAAAGATCACAAAATCCGTTCATTATAGATTCAAAAATTTAGTCAAAAACACCCAACTGTGATATCCATTCAGAAATCATGGTAACCCTAAAATAGAAAAAACATGAGTTGATGGGGAGAGAGATAGGCTTGAAGACTAACATTCAAATTTAATGCATAGAGACAACATGTAACTCAAGAAGAACTCCTTCTCCTTCCTTCTCTGGTTGTAGCTTTGAGATTTGGCAGAAGATAATTTTTGTAGCTGAGTTTTATTGTGAGTTTTGGTGCTAGGAAAAAATGAATTCCCGCTCTATAGAAATTGTGAATTACACCTATTTTGGTGGAAATTAAACTTGGGAATTTGATGCCCAAATTTCCACGCTCTTTTCTACAGATCATTTAATAAATTTTGCGCTTAAGTTGCCAAACAAGGGAATTATCAATTTCTCTATTTAAATTCCCTGCTTTTAACCAAATTCCGAGTTATTTTTCCTCATCCAAACTGAGGGTTAGGATTTCACATGGAATTCCTACTTAACTTGTTGAGGAATTTAGCGTGAGCCATTTTTGGGGCATTGGTCATCCATAACATAGGGATGTCATCTCACTTTGATTAAGTAAAAGCTACAGTTCATGATTTGAACCTTAGGCAATGAGAACTGGAGAACTAGTGCCATAAGCAGTGTGACCTTATCCCTACCAAAGGAGCTACTGCCGACGACGCTAAGTGCATGGTTAAGGCAGCAATAAGATTGTCCCATAGTGCCTTTTATGCTCTCTTTAGTAATTTCTAATCCTCTTGGAGAGAGAAAATCCCTAAGGATTCATAAGCTTTCGGAGTTTGATTCTTAAACTCAGGCAAAAGGGTGACATCATCCACTCTCTTCATAGCAGTTCATGTCCATATGGAGCTGTTGGAACGAAAAACCACCTACAGAAAATTACGTGATTATTTAGATCACTTTACCATGTGTTGCATTTAAAAAAAAGTTATTTGTAAATAAATAAATATTTGAGATAGGGAGGAACTCGAAGTCTTCCTTACCTAACAAAATTGAGAGATATACTGCTAAATTGATAGTTAGTTGAGTAAAGCATATGATGAGACACAATTCATTGGAGGTGAAAATCTGGTTGCAATTAGACCTGGCAATATTACACACGACTCGTTAACACGACACGAATTCGCACAAAATTATCAGTATTTGGGTTGAGCTTAATGGGTCAAGTTGAAAACGGGTGAACCCGTTAGTCACCCGTTAAGCTAACGGGTCGTGTCGGGTCAATTCGCGAATATTCGCATCCACCCGTTAAGGGAGGGTAATTTTGTAAAAAAAAAAAAAAAAAAAAAAAACACCAAACAGACCCTTATTATTATTATTATTATTATTATTTTTTCTGTCATTTTTCATCTCTCCATTTCTTCCATTCTTTTTTTTAATATTATTTTTCCTTCAACCTATTCTCTCTTCGTGACTCTTACCTTTTTTCTTCTTCTTTTCCCTTCTCCCCTTCTCTCCATCTCTCTCTTTTTCCTTTCTTCTTCCTCTTTCCATTATTCTCTATCTCTCCCTTTTTATATTCTCTTCTTCTTTCCACTCCACTCAACAGACTCAACCCAACCAAGAGAAGACTGGTGAAACAGAGACCTCCATCACGGCGACGTCACCTAAGATTTTAGATTTCTTCATGTAGTTCCCCATCTATCTCGGCCTAAGCCTTTATCTCTCAGTCAATTTTCTTTATTCCTATGTTTTTGCTGTTGTTGTTGGGTTTTAAGGTTGAATTGAATGAGAGTGACTGTGAAAGTGGTGGAGAGAGAGAGAGAGAGAGAGAGAGAGAGAGAGAGAGAGAGAGAGGACCAATTTTGTAAGATATCTGTGAGAGAGAGAGAAGTTTTTTTGTCTGGGGGGAGGGGAGATTGAAATGAAGAGGAAAAGAGGGAAGAAAAGTTTAGGGAAAGAAGAGTTAGCAATGGGCGATAGGTTTTTAATTTTTAATTTTTTAATTATTTTTATTCTTAACGGGTTGTGCGGGTTTTTCGCGAATTGTAACAAGTCGTGTTTGAGTCTGATAATTTTCACCCGTTAAGTTAACAGGTCGTGTCGTGTCAACCCGTTAACTTAACGGGTTAACACGAACACGACCCGAAATCCGTTAAAACAACCTGTTTACCAAGTCTAGTTGCAAAGCATATTCATTTACAACAATATGAGGTTGGCTTTATGGTAACAAACAGTACAATTCAAATGAGTTCGAACAATTATTTTTTTACTTCGTATATTGTTACGGCTATCCCAAACCAAGCAAAGGATCCGAATTCATCCTACAATACCATTATAACAAGTTATCCAAATCCAATAGACAAAGTTAAATTAAAACATACCAACTTAGACTCAAACCAGAAGTAGAAACTTTTGGCCTTTGATCACTATTTCCATTTCGAGATGCTGATTCATTTGTTCATCTTTTCTACATTAGCAGCCATGACATT